ATCACTAATATATTTGATGATGTTTTAGAGTTATACAATAGTACAATACATGCGACGGAATCGCTTTGTTTAATTGTGCATCATGTTTACACCTGCAACATGATAAACAGGTCCAAGAAGGTGATCTCGATGAATTCAATAAAAAGTAATTCAAATTACAGTGCTAAAGAGGTAGATATAAAAAGAAATGAAAATTGTTGCGAATAAAACGTTACTACATAAACGTCTTGAATACACATATTGTACACCTAATTTATTTCCGATAGCTGTTGTTCTATTACCACATTATAACTTCATATGAATCGGAACTCGGACTTGTAATGTTTTTCAATTGTGTTGTAGTACCACACGATTGTTCGATGATCTGAAAGCACAGAAAAAGTTAGAAGTTATCGAAAGTAAAATCATTTATTTACAAAAAATAAAGACAACGCACATTTATATCTGTCTAAAATCAAAATTGCTGAAACACAACAGCCTGTTCATACCTAACATAGATTTATCTCGATATTCAAAAGGTGAAATAATTTAATTACAATTCCAGTTTTTGAAAGCTCCTGCAGCAATTAAAATATATTTATCTATATAACCGAAGATAAAGAGATGAATTGTGACCCGCCATGACATTTCCAGGCTTGTGGCGGTCAATAAAGGCACCAGTAGTATACCGCTGTTCAATAGTCATAATTCGATTAAGCAAAAATAAATCCGGGTAACAAACTAAAACCGAGGGAAACACATCAACTATAAGAGGAAAACAACGAAACAACAGAAACACTGAATTACAACAAAAGCAAACGCCAACATACATAGAAACGGACTTTTTGTTAACAACTGCCATATTCATGACTTGGTACAGGACATTTTAAGTAGAAATGGAGGGTTGAACCTGGTTTTATGGCTAGCCAAACCTCCCACTTATATGGCAACATGAAAATACCGCTAAAATGAAAACACTGCGTGACAGTGCAAACAAACGCAAGAACACCCAGCACAAAGAAATACATGAATAAATAATATAAAAGTACATTACAACGTCATAATGAGAAAATGTCGATATAAAGTCACGTAACGTAATCGGGGCACCTGTTATTTAATGTCCATTTATATCATGCGGTAAAAGAAAGTTTAATTTTTCATGAAATTTGGATTTTGCATTAAGATATACAAAACAATAAGATTTTTTATGTAAAATTAATAATTTAGTTTAAAATACAGTCTAGAATCGCGTTCTAAATTCACACAACTTAACTTTTAAGTTTCATTGCGTAAAATCATTAATATGTTTTCAATTATACAAATCGGATAAAATCAAATCACCATTGCATTGCTAGCTATTATTTAGAAAAATGTAGTACCGAAAAATTATACGATGCCCTATTCAGATTGCAGCATGAACACTAAGTTTTTGGAGTAAATCTCATTGTTTCACATTGTAAGGAAAATATGATCATTTGTATGGACATATACCGGTACATGTAAATCAAGCAAGATATACATGCCCATTAGGACCCCAATAGTGTCTCATCCAATGTTTATTCATAGTTTTATACATGACTGTCTTAGAACTACATAAACAAGATATAAATGTTGTTGAAAGTTTTCTAACATCTCTCTCACCTACATGCCCTAATTGTATTGATCATACCGTTTGATTTTTCATTTTACTCTGTATTAACAGATCTTTGATTTAATCACTTTGTCAGGATACATGTACAAAATGTATCACCAATAAGATAATAGATGAACATAAGAAAGCATATTTAATAATACATAGCTCCTAATAGTTTTTTTTATATATCTTGCTATTCACTTTCTTAGCATTGATGTTGTTTTCCAAACGAAAAAAAATAAAATAAAATAAGTCATTATTATTTTGATTGCGGATTCCGGTACATTGTTGCTATGGCAACCGAATTTAATTAATTCTACAGTTATTTAGGTATTAAAGCTACAAGTTCATTTTGATTAATTAAAAAGTCTTAAACCCATCCCTAACACCCCCTCAAAAATATACTAGTAATTAATGAACATACATGTGCAGATAATTGAAAAAAAAAAACAAATGAAAGTTTTCAATAGAATCGAATCTAACATAAATGACCATAATTCTGTTATTTTGAAGATTCTAGCAAACTAACTTGTCAGGATGTTTTGAATCTATGTATACTTTATAAAAATGCCAAAAACTCATTTTGACCCTGGTACCCCTTTCAGCCTGAAAATCTCATGGCTGGTCACAATTTTGGACATCGTTTCCTGTAATCAATGTACACCCCTAAAAATACTGCAAGCCAAACTTCTCTCAGTCGTCATGTTGCTCATTGGAAGTAAATACCCGATGATAAGTCATATTATCCGTAATATGTTTGCTTTAAAAAAATCTTGAAGTTGACAGAGTTTGTATATATATTCACCTCAATTACCCCGTTGCTGTGACAGTAAGTCATAATTCCAGAAATGTCTGTAAAATGGCCGTGTCGGATTCTTCCAATGGGAATATAAGTTGGTAGACTGGCACAATTTGAAATAACCTGAGTAAAGATATTCAGTATTTTATGGATAATAGTGTATATCTGAATAGTCATCATCAATACAAATGTTTAGTTAACTTTTTCATTTCGACATTTTGTTATTTCAAATTATTAATTTTCAGTTTGTTTTAGGAATAAATTGAATGAATTTCAAATAAAACGTCAACCTCTTTTGCTAATATACGTGCTATATTGTGAATTGACAAATATATTTGAAAGTAAGTCGAAACGCAAGAGAAACTTAAAAATAACCTAAACCATCGAGAATTACAAGATAAAACACATATCAAAGAGGTTTAGAACTATATCAACACTTAATTGAATATAGCTACACTTACATCACGACCTCGTTTCCACATGGACATTTCAGGAGCACTACAGTAACTAATAAGTAAGGCATCAGCTGAGTTTGTTCCGTCCAAACAACCTCTGGATGTTGGAGCGGACACACTTGTCTTTGTGACAAGGCTTTGTATGGCTCTAAATTTATCACATACATGTGCATGGGATGCTTGTTGAAAGAAAGGAAATAAATCTGTCACTTGGCAAATTTTGTAATTCTGATGGAACATACAAATCAAGTTAAGTTAACCAAAAATAAACACATATATATTTGAATGTGTTCAAAGCTATGAAATATATGTAGACTAGAATGTAAAACCATAATTCAAAATGCAAAGGTGTAGGAAAAGAAGTATTTCATTACACAAATACACAGTTTAGATAAACATAGGTGTGCATAATGAATAACTAGAGGCTCTGAAGAGCATGTGTCGCTCAACTAGTATAAATGTAGAAATAAGAAGATGTGGTACAATTGTCAATGAGACAACTCTCCATCAGAGACCAAATGACATAGAAGTTAACAGTTATAAGTCACCATACGGTCTTCAACAATGAGCAAAACCCATACCGCATAATCAGCTATGAAAGGCCCCGAAATGACAAATGTAAAACAATAGGTCAATGTCAATCCTCAACAATGAACACTCTCCAACATTGTGAAATAGCAAAGAATTCATGACAAAATCTCTATTTTGTATCGCTGGTCACACAGATTTGATTTAGAAGAAAAACCGACATGGTTAGAAAATACAAATAATTACGCCATTACTAACACAATTGGTTAGAAATACATAAAATAACACTATTACAAACTTAATCCCAATTTTATATTCTATTTTTAGAAATGTACCTGTGACGTCACTTTTTGTGGCGTTGATACATTCGTGTGACGCACAGTTCATTATTCTATTGTGGTGTACATGGGAGGTGTCCGTTGTTATTCTGTGGTTTACATGTGGTAATGTACTATTATATTGTTTATTACTGTTTCTCTGTCCTGAGTGTTCTTGCGTTTATGTGTACTGTATTCCTGTCACGTAATGTCGTTTTAGCGGTTTTGATTTGTGACCCGGATTTGTTTCAGTTAAATCGATTTATGACTATTGAACAGCGGTCAACTGAACAACTACTGTTGCCTTTATTAGTATATTTTGTTTGATGATCATTTTTGCTTATTTAAGTTTCTACCTAGTATGTATTAAAGTTTTTCAGATATTAGGCAAAAACGCAAAAAATGACATAAATAGTTATTAAAGGACAAATACTCAAATAAAGCATCATCAGACGATTTCAACAATGATTATTTGTAGATTTTGTCTTGCTGATAAATTTTCTTTTTAAAGTTTCTCTCTATCTATTATAGTTTCAAGATAACAAACAAACATGTAAAAATTGGTAAAATTTGTCATTGAAGGGCAATAACTCTTATAAGAACTCTTCTGTAAGGATAAATGTTAATGGACAATATGTAAAGCTTATCATTCTGATCATTTCTTCTCCCGTCAGTTATCAATGATAATTCATGTTCTTAGATATCTTTTGAGATCTCAACATTATCCCTTTTATTCTCAACCGGTACACACACAAATAGCAAGATAATCATTTAACTTTTAAAAAATAACTGCAGAATATCTTATGTAATCCTGTACTCTGATATCTGTGTTGTACCACATAGAAGATTTAAAACAGAAATGTCATAAACACTAAACGTTGACATCATCTTTTTCAATGCCCGGACAACCTGTACTGTACAGAATTTCAATGCTTTTTCGAATCTATGATTATGATCACAATACGCTATGAGGAACAGCAGTAAAGTTATCAACGTAAACAATATAACTGTGAAAAGCTAGAAGTTGAATTCCAATTATAGAGTTGGAATCATGTTTATTCAATAAATCTCCTGATTTGTTAAAAATAAGATATTCCTATACTTTGATTCATATTTTAACGGTCTAAAGTGATAATTATGTCATTACTACAGAAGACAAAAAAAAAGAAAAAACAACGTACCATGAAAATCGTTTTGCTTTGTTTGCAGACTGATACTGATTATAGTTATCAGCTAGCTAGGTAATTATGTATTCTAGTTAACAATTTAGCTTTAGATAATATATGTACCTGTCGATGGATTAGTTGGAATAGCTGTAGTTGGTAGAGGTAAAGCTGAAAAGTAAATGTGAACATATCGCAATTTATCAACAGATTAGATAAGATTTCCTAAAACAAGATAAAACGCGAGGAATGAATATTTTAATTCTCAATTATAGTTTTTATTCCCCGAGGGTATCACCAGCCCAGTAGTCAGTACTTCTGTGCTGACATGAATTATCATTGATATGGTAATATTTATAAATTAACTGTTTACAAAACTTTGAATTTTTGAAATACTAAGGCTTTTCTACCTCAGGAATAGATTGCCTTGGCTGTATTTGGCAAAACTTTTAGGACTTTTGGTCCTCAATGCTCTTCAACTTCGTACTTCATTTGGCCTTTGAAACATTTTTGGATTCGAGCGTCACTGATGAGTCTTTTGTAGACGAAAAGCGCGTCTGGCGTAGGTACAAAATTTAAATTCTGGTATCTATGATGAGTTTATTTATAGGCTATTTCATTTCAAAATATACATTTGGAGCCATATATATATCGTCGGAAGATATTTTTCTGGCTAATAAGTAAAAATGTAGCCATAACAATGGCATATCAAAGATATTTCTCAGAAATGGCATATCATCCTAGATTTTGGTCTCTTTTCCTTGTTGTCCATAAACATGTACTTTCTCAACAAGTTTAACTTACATAAAAATAGTGAAATAAAAGAGAACTTTTTAAAGTATCTAATTTAATGTATTTTGCATACGTTACATTTGGTATGTTTTTCCTTGTTTGTTTGCTTTGTTTTTACAACGGAGCTAAGTATGAAGAAATTATAAAAAAAAAATCTATACCATAGCTCTGAGGCCAAAATGAAGAGTAAACTGTCCTTGATGCAAAACCTCCAAGTTCATTTCATAATCTCGTACGTTAATGCATTTTACTCACTTGTAGTTATGACGGTTGTTTTGTTTGCTGTAGCTATGAAAATAAAAATGTTATATTATCTTATATATATTTTAATATGCAAAGTATTATATAATAGATAATGACATTATCACTTAATTAAAAATGAGGGAAACGAAATATCAAACAGCTAATCTTTGTTCGAACTGTAAATTTGAGCAATCATATTCACCAGAAAGTTACAAAGAAAAAGTTTCGAAAGTCAACTATACTTTATATTATTCTATTTTTAGAAAATGTTTGTAAACTAATACTAATTTTAAGTATTGCTTTCACTTCAAGTAAGTCGCCGTTTTAAGTTTTGAAACTCATCATGAATTATCATTATCCGAAACACACTTTTTATGAGAAATTATCTACCTTTGAAGCTTGCAACTAACACAAAAAACAATATCGTTAAACTTGAAAGTTTTCATTTGTATGACTAGAAAAACAAAAATCGGTATACACTTATACATAGATTTCATAATTTTTTCAAAGAATAATTGAATATCTTGTTTTGAAATCAGTGGAATTTGTTTTTGTAATGCATGAAAATGGGATTACAGTACTATTGTTGAAAGAATTACCGCCATCACCTGTGATTAGGTGTTGAAAGAATTACCGCCGTCACCTGTGATCAGGTGTTGAAAGAATTACCGCCGTCACCTGTGATTAGATCAGAGTGACAGTTTTCGCTAAATCCACTTCTACTTTGCTTTCCGAAATTACGTTGACAAGTGTGGAATTGTTTATTCTTGAGGTACCATGTACATGCTCTCAAATCGTAAGCAATTTTTTCGCGGATAAGCTTTTTGAAGGTCATTAGGGTTGTTTAATGATAAGATATGTAAAACAATGCATAACAATCGAACAGGAGAAGCATCAGGGTAGAATATAATTACAAATGATTATATCTTTTTTCTCAAGAGATAAATATTGTACATGGGGACTAACAAAACCAGATTCTAATATTTCCCAATCTTCATTAATTTTAGTGGTAATGTACAGTATCAATACAATATTTAATTTATCATTTGGCTTTCTTGCCATTATGATTCATTTCACTAGGTCGTTATTGGAAACATGTCGACATTAATGGATCTTTCCATACCACTCTTTCCCTTTCCCTATTAGTGAGAAATATAAATAGACCTACTGTCTTTAAATAAACCATCAAACATTTAAGAAGAATAACTTTGAACTTTTTATTTTTGGCCATGGCGTTGTCAGTTTGTTTTCGATCTATGAGTTTGACTGTCCCTCTGGTATCTTTCGTCCCTCTTTTGAAACTTTCATCATGCACATTGATACAATTTATCTGCATGAATAAAACTCTGATATAATAGAATAGAGAATGGAAACGGGAAATGTGTCAAAGAATCAACAATCAAACCAAAGAATCAACAGTCAAACCAAAGAGCAGACAACTGCCCAAATATTGTTTGAATTACTTACTACTCTCACAGTAAGTACCATTATAACCAGTGGCACAGAAGCAGTGGTAACCTTGCAAACTACTTCTACATACACCTCCATGTTGACATCTTACATTTGAACAATCTGAAAGTAATGTATACAGTTCATTTGATATATATATATATATCTAATTAAATTTTAATCAAAATTTTCTTATTATAATTGATCTTTTTTGGACGAAACAGATTATTCTCAATATATATGAAAAAAGTAAAATCACAAAAATACTGAACTCCGAGGAAAATTCAAAACGGAAAGTCCCTAATCAAATGGCAAAATCAAATGATAAAACACATCAAACGAATGGACAACAACTGTCATATTCCTGACTTGGTACAGGCATTTTCAAATGTAGAAAATGGTGGATTGAACCTGGTTAGCCTTGTTAGTTATTCACATCTTTTGCTCTTACTTAGAAAGTTGTCTCATCTGCAATGATACCAAATCTTCTTATTTATGTTTATAATGAAACTGGGTTTCAAATAAATATATATGTAACAGTGAATTTGTATAATCAGGGACTATGTAAAATCTTTTATTTTTTCAAGGATTTTGCATAATTACTGAATTACATATAATCACTGACAATGACCAGTGATTTTATATTATAACTAAAAAATTTAAGAAAATGTAAATTACTGACACTGATTTAAGGGTTGAAAAATAATACAAATATCCTTTGCTTGATAAACATAAATCTTATACAGACAAATACGTCATTTGTATTTCAAACCCCTTTTAGGTTTAAATGGACAATTTTCATTTCCTGCTATTTATTAAATCTAAAGTGAACAGTTTTTCCAGTGATATGCTATTCAAACGTGTTGAATAACATTGACTTAATAAAGTATTTAGAAATGAAATCTCTATAATAGTGATAACTGTACTGGTTTAAATTCATCAGAGATACCAGTATGTCATAAAGTGTATTGCTTGCCAATAACAGCTTCAAATGTACGTTCGTGTTGAAAATATTAATACGCAGTGCCTGTAAAATGCTTTAAAACAAATGGCAAGGAAGGTTATTTAACATGTGTTCTATGTTTTCTATGTTTCAATGAACAAGGAATTAAAATTTAGCAACTAATGCAATTAAAAAGACAGAAAAACATACATAACGCATCCTTGGCAGATCGAACACAATTGTGGAGGAGGCCAACATTAGATGAATTTTTTATACTGATTTGGCATGTCGATCGCGAATAGGGACACACAAAAATATATAATTGCCGTCGTTCATGAAATGACTGAAACATATATTACTTTGTTACGAAAAATTTCATTTAGCTAGGACCTTATGCAAAGGAAAACAAGAACAAATTTAAAAGTATCGAATGCGTTCGTTGCTTTCTTTTTTGTGAGCTGCCAACATCCGACTCCTAAAAAAACAATCATTCCAAAAAAGATAAACAACAACGAACAACATATGGACCAGATAGCCGGACTAGGTACACGAAATGTATAGGGGTTAAACAAATTTAACAAGTAACTAGATGACTGCAACACATCTTCAGCATTTGCCGTATTTGAAAGTTAAATATAGAATATTTAGATGTTTTAGCAAAATGGTTTCATTTCATTCTTCTTTATACATGTTTAATGCAATATAAAAGAAAAACATTGTCTTGTAAATTTGAATTAAACACATTTAAAAATTAATGTATGTAATTGAAAAGTAGTACAGCACTGGTGATATGTAACATATGATAATACTCTAGTATTTTTGTATTGTTCATAAACAAAAAATGTCTGTAATCCTAATTGCGTCAACTTAATTGATAGAAGAAAATACTTACGATCAATGACTGAAACAATAAATTAAATATCAATCAAATAAATTAGTAAAATCTAAAATGCAAATACTGCATTTAACAACAAAATAAGTACGATAAATAATACCTCAAGCGTCAAATGATGAAAAAACTAATGTCATAAATATATTAAAAAAATATTCAAAAATTGGTTTTGAAATAATACAACTAATTCTAGGATATCAGATATTTTTCAGCTATTCGTTTTTTTTTCTTTCTTATTTCTACTCCTTTTTTTAAAATTTATTGTGAAATAACAAAGAAATAAATGTTTTTTTATTACTTTTTATCCGAATTTTTACGCAACTCTCATTCGAGGTTCTTAATTAATACTTGTCATACAACTGACATATCGAACTTAAGTATTCAAGTTTGGAATGCTTTGATTTACTTCAAATTGGTTCAATAACATAAAAGGTACAAATTTTAATGCACTAGATGCGCATTTCTACAATTAATGTCTCTTCAGGGATGCTCAAGGCCAAAATAATTGAACTTTTAAAATCCCATTCAAATGTTGAAGAGCGGATCAGATAAACAAGAGGCTCTCAAGAGCCTGTGTCGCTCACCTGACTTTACTTTGGTTTTAGAAATCATGTAAAGATAGATAAAAATCATAACAGATACCCAAATAATGATTGAGGCCAAATCTGGATTAATATTGGTCCCTTTATTTAATAAAATATCCTGGTGGCCATCTTGAACAGTAAATCGGCAACAAAGTAGCAACACTTGGTCAGCACCTCATAAGGAACATTCATGCCATGTTTGGTTTCATTCCATTTAGTGGTACTCTAAAAGAAGACATTTGTATGTATTTCCCATAGGGTCCTATGTTAAACTAAGCCCCCCACCTAGCGGCCATCTTGGATGATGGATCGACTGCAAAGTAACAACACTTGGTCAGCACCTCATAAGGAACATTCATGCCATGTTTGGTTCCATTCCGTTCAGTGGTTCTCTAAAAGAAAACATTTGTATGTATTTCCCATAGGGTCCTATGTTAAACTAAGTTCCCCGCTGGCGGCCATCTTGGATGATGGATCGGCTGCAAAGAAACAACACTTGGTCAACACCTCATAAGGAACATTCATGCCATGTTTGGTTCCATTCCATTTACTGGTTCTCTAAAAGAAGACATTTTGTATTTATTTCCCATAGGGTCCTATGTTAAACTAAGTCACCCACTGGCGTCCATCTTGGATGATTGATCGGCTGCAAAGTAACAACACTTGGTCAGAACCTTATAAGGAACATTCATGCCATGTTTGGTTTCATTCCATTCACTGGTTCTCTAAGAGAAGACATTTGTATGTATTTCCCATAGGGTCCTATGTTAAACTAAGTCCCCCGCTGTCGGTTATCCTGGATGATGGACCGACTGCAAAGTTACAACACTAGGTCAGCACCTTATAAGGAACATTCATGTAATGTTTTGTTTCATTCCATTCAGTGGTTCTCTAAGAGAAGACATTTGTATGTATTTCCTTTAGGGTCCTATGTTGAACTAAGTCCCCCGCTGGCGGCCATCTTGGATGATGGACCGACTGCAAAGTAACAACACTTGGTCACCATCTCATAAGGAACATTCATGCCATGTTTGGTTCCATTCCATTTATTGGTTCTCTTAAAGAAGACATTTTTATGTATTTCTCATAGGGTCCTATGTTAAATTAAGTCCCCCGCTGTCGGCCATCTTGGATGATGGACCGACTGCAAAGTAACAACACTTGGTCAACACCTCATAAGGAACATTCATACCATGTTTGGTTTCATTCCATTCAGTGGTTCTCTAAGAGAAGACATTTTGTATGTATTTCCCATAGGGTCCTATGTTAAACTAAGTCCCCCGCTGGCGGCCATCTTGGATAATGGATCGGCTATAAAGTAACAACACTTGATCAGCACCTCATAAGGAACATTCATGCCATGTTTGGTTCCATTCCATTTATTGGTTCTCTAAGAGAAGACATTTTTATGTATTTCCCATAGGGTCCTATGTTTAACTAAGTCCCCCGCTGGCGGCCATCTTGGATAATGGATCGGCTACAAAGTAACAACACTTGGTCAGCACCTCATAAGGAACATTCATGCCATGTTTGGTTTCATTCAATTCAGTGGTTCTCTAAAAGAAGACATTTGTATGTATTTCCCATAGGGTCCTATGTTAAACTAAGTTCCCCGCTGGCGGCCATCTTGGACGATGAATCGGCTACAGAGTAACAACACATGGTCAGCACCTCATAAGGAACATTCATGCCATGTTTGGTTTCATTCCATTCAGTGGTTCTCTAAAAGAAGTCATTTGTATGCATTTCCCATAGGGTCCTATGTTAAACTAAGTCCCCCGCTGGCGGCCATCTTGGATGATGGATCGGCTACAAAGTAACAACACTTGGTCAGCACCTCATAAGGAACATTCATGCCATGTTTGGTTTCATTCCATTCAGTGGTTCTCTAGAAGAAGTTCAAAATGTAAAAAGTTAACGACGACGACGGACGACGCTGGACAACGACGGACGACGGACGACGGACGACGGACGCCAAGTGATGAGAAAAGCTCACTTGGCCCTTCGGGCCAGGTGAGCTAAAAATGACCCAAAGTATAGCCAAATCCGGACAATGAACCAGGGCTTTGCACGAGGGAGATATAATCTATTATGTTAAGCAACAAATATTTCTTAAACTGTTCATTTATAAATTTACAAATTATCAAGAAAATAAGGTTTCAACTCCCTCAGGCAACGTTGACCTTAAATGGATTTGTCTATCATTTTAGATCCTTTCTGATCAAATTGTTCTTCACTAATACTTCTACATCCTCCTTGGTTTTCAAATATTCGGCTCAGGCCGTTCCTGATGAAAGTAAATTCAGCAAAGTTTTTCGGACGAAACATTTATACAAAGTGTTTTATTTTTTTTGTAATGTTTTTCTTAAAAGTTAGTATTGTGCTTACCATAGTCGCACAATTTCCCCGAATATCCATTACGGCATATACATTGAAAACCTGCTACCGTATTTGAACATGATCCAAAAACACATGGATTTGACTTACAATCTGTACAGCACAAAGATAAATATGATTATAATCTATTTATTATTATTCTCGTCATTTATAAACTTCATTGACAAAATTGCAAATGAAAACGTATGAGCAATATATAGAAAACCACCACAATCAACAACAAGGCAACAACACAAGTATGGTTAACATGAATGGGTTAAAAGTATT